GAAACCATTGGAGAAGCCGTTGTTGACTAGGACCTGCCTTACCCTACAGAGTTCTTCGTCGACTTGCTTCCATTCTGAGCTGTGGCTGAGAGCACGGTCGACATATGCGTTAACAACACTCCTCTTGTACCTATCTGGGCAGTCACTTTTGGCATTTAGGCACATTCCTATGTTCGTTTCCTTAGTGTAGACTGCAGTGTGGAAACCTCCGCTCTTTTCCATGACTGTTACATCTAGAAAGGGCAGCTTCCCATCCTTTATATATATATATATATATATATATATATATAATCATACACACTAATGATTTGAGTGATAAACCAGTGTCACTGGAAGTACCTTTAGGTTAGCTCCTCAATTATTACCCTAAGATGGTATAGACACTAATTAATCACTCAAAGGTGTAATGATCATAAGTAAATTACTATATGTACACAACTCAACTCGAGCTTGTAACAATTACACCCAAAATAGGGTCTGCACCATACATTAATGGTGCTAGGTTGTTCAATGTAGTACAACTAGACTATGGTAATAAATGGGACTAGGATGAACAATAAATAGTTCAACTAGTCAATGGTAATAGGGGACTAGGTTATCTATAAACACTAGTCAATGTATATCCTACCCTGTTGTGGGTTGGCAATTAGTAAATATTATATTGAGAACACTGGTGCAATATATATTAAATAATTCTCTATTTTGGAGAAATAATATACACAATTATTGATGATAGCCTCTTAATCAGCCTCTATGAAACTTCTAATATTATCTAGAAGTATTAAATATTATTAGTGACCTCACGAAATTAACACAAAATTCGTGGATAATCTCTCGCAAAATTAACACCACAAAATCCGTCAATAATCTTGCGAGGACACAGCCACTAATTTGGCTGGCTTTAAAATAAGCACTGTCATTTCACAGAATAACATCCCACCAAATCGGTGGGTGACCATGAAACCGCTGATGAGACTGAACTGAGCTGAGGGGCTCGTGAGTTCGCTCGAGGCTACGCTGCCAGTTTTTGACTGGCTTTGTATTGTTATTTGTATAAATCACACTAATATCAGTATATTTAATGAATCCACTGGTTAACTGGTTCATCTGGTACAAAGATGACCAAATGATCCGTCATCCGGCTCAAAGATGACTATATAATGTGGGAACCGACCTGTGAGGTTTATATTTAATTTATTTGAATTTATTTAGAATTTATATTACGTTAATTTATATATTTCGATAGCAATTGGTATGATGTTAAGTGGACTGTATTTCTACAATAATCTCACAAATCGATCCTTACACATTAGGGGGGTGTTTATATTAAATTTATATATATGCAGCCAATCAAACTACAGTATTAAACTACATATACAGTATCCACTCAATTTAACGGCCTCTTTTATACTGATCTGCCGGTAATAATGACCGGTTTGGGAGATCGGTATCTGGACCCTCATATACCAGTCTGGCGGTCGATATTACCGAAGGTCGGTATTGAGTTTGTTTTGGCATCGGCGGCCCCTCATGTGGCAACAGGCCACCGACCTCCAAGGCCTTGAGGGAGGGGATGGGAGGCAGTGATTGATGGAGGGAGTTGGTCAGGAAGGGAGGGAGGGAGTTGGTCAGGAAGGGAGGGAGTTGGTCAGGAAGGGAGGAAGGGAGTTGGTCAGGAAGGGAGGGAGGGAGTTGGTCAGGAAGGGAGGGAGGGAGTTGGTCATGAAGGGAGGGAGGGAGTTGGTCAGGAAGGGAGGGAGGGAGTTGGTCAGGAAGGGAGAGAGGGAGTTGGTCAGGAAGGGAGGGAGGGAGTTGGTCAGGAAGGGAGGGAGGGAGTTGGTCAGGAAGGGAGGGAGGGAGTTGGTCAGGAAGGGAGGAAGGGAGTTGGTCAGGAAGGGAGGAAGGGAGTTGGTCAGGAAGGGAGGAAGGGAGTTGGTTAGGGAGGGAGGGAGGGCGTTGGCGAGGGAGGGAGGGAGTTGGTCAGGGAGGGAGGGAGGGAGTTGGTCAGGAAGGGAGGAAGGGAGTTGGTCAGGAAGGGAGGAAGGGAGTTGGTTAGGGAGGGAGAGAGGGCGTTGGCGAGGGAGGGAGGGAGTTGGTCAGGGAGGGAGGGAGGGAGTTGGTCAGGAAGGGAGGGAGGGAGTTGGTCAGGGAGGAAGGGAGTTGGTCAGGAAGGGAGTTGGTCAGGAAGGGAGGGAGGGAGGGAGTTGGCAAGGGAGGGAGTTGGCCAGGGAGGGAGGGAGGGAGTTGGTCAGGGAGGGAGGGAGGGAGTTGGTCAGGAAGGGAGGGAGGGAGTTGGTCAGGAAGGGAGGGAGGGAGTTGGTCAGGAAGGGAGGGAGGGAGTTAGTCAGGAAGGGAGGAAGGGAGTTGGTCAGGAAGGGAGGGAGGGAGGGAGTTGGTCAGGAAAGGAGGAAAGGAGTTGGTCAGGAAGGGAGGAAGGGAGTTGGTCAGGAAGGGAGGAAGGGAGTTGGTCAGGAAGGGAGGGAGGGAGTTGGTCAGGAAGGGAGGGAGGGAGTTGGTCAGGAAGGGAGTTGGTCAGGAAGGGAGGGAGGGAGTTGGTCAGGAAGGGAGGGAGTTGGTCACGGAAGGAGGAAAAACTATTGTGGTGTGTATGGGACTCGCTTAAGCCTAACAAAGGTGGCGTTGGCGGTGTTGCAAGAATTATATTGTTTTCTTATTGCTGTGGAGAGCTAGTTCCGAATATTAATTAAATAACACTATAATAGATGAACAGTACAGTACAGTATTTGGTTTACTATTTATTCATTTAAATATTTACAATAAAATAAAATGGGATTTAACAGAACTTACGGCGCATCGTACAGCGTGTCAACACCCACGTGTCTATCGACACATGTGGAGGGGAGATGGGAAGGCTGGCGTGAGGTGGGGGAGGGGGGGTTGACCAGGCAGGAGATAACACGTGTCGTCCAGTCTCGCCACTTACCCACCTGTTCACCCACTTCCCTGCCCACCCACCTGTTCACCCACTTTCCTGCCCACCCACCTGTTCACCCACTTCCCTGCCCACCCACCTGTTTACCCACCTGTTCACCCACTTCCCTGCCCACCCACCTGTTTACCCACCCACCTGTTTACCCCACCTGTTCACCCACTTCCCTGCCCACCCACCTGCCGGCACACCCACTTGCTCACCTGTTCACCCACTTCCCTGCCCACCCACCTGTTCACCCACTTCCCTGCCCACCCACTTCCCTACCCACCCACCTGTTCACCCACTTCCCTGCCCACCCACTTCCCTGCCCACCCACCTGTTTACCCACTTCCCTGCCCACCCACCTGTTTACCCACTTGGCTGCACACCCATTTACCCACCTGTTCACCCACCCACCTATTTACCCACTTCCCTGCCCACCCACCTGCCTGCACGCCCACTTACCCACCTGTCAATCCATCCACCCACCTGTTCACCCACCTACCTGCACACCCACCTGCCTGCTTAACCCACCTGTTCACCCACTTCCCTGCCCACCCACCTGTTTACCCACATGCCTGCATGCCCACTTACCCACCTGTCAATGCACCCACCCACCTATTCACCCACCTGCCTACTTACCCACTCACCCACCTGCCTGCTCGAACCTGTTCACCCACCAAGCCCATCTACCTGCCATCCACTCATCCAAAACCCACCTGCCTGAACCCACCTATCCCTGCCTGCCCACCCACCCACTTGCCTGCCCACCCACTTTCCCTGCCCACCCACTTTCCCTGCCCACCTACCAGCTAGGCAGCTAACCACCCATGCACCAGCCCCACACACTATTTAGTGTGTCAATTCAAATCATGCATGTGGTATAAAAATTGTCGGAAATGGTCCCTTTTGGACTCAGAGGTGAAAAGTACTATTATCCGGAACATGTGATAATCCGGCTGGGGGTCCTTCCCATATAGTCCGGATAGTCGAGTGGAGACAACTACCTGAATGTTACTTGAAAAATTACCGACATCTTAACTTCGGAAATAGCAGAACTCCGGAAATAACGACCAGGGTACAGCCCCATATAGGCCGTTAAATTGAGTGGATAAATTGGAGGTGCCTTATCTTATTGTACAGCAGGCTTAGTCCACCAGATATAACTAGGATGTAGACACCAAATTATCCTCGTGTGAGGCTAGCTTCTATCACCCATAGTAACTGATGTACCAAGATTAATTTGCATCCTCTTCTTGTTCCTGTCAAAGGGTGCTAGCTGTAAAGCCGGAATCCTAATATATGACAGCTATATCAGAGAAAACACTGTATATTAGGTAAGATAAGGACCAAGGCTTAATTACTTGGGTTGAGTCGATTGTTTGTGTTCTAACCAGTTCGCCCAATATCTACCTAACATTAACTGGCCAGAAATGATTAGATAAACGGGTTTCGGAAAGACACTTCCCTTGTGGTTGTTGACAGCGTGTTGATGATGGTAGAACACTTTGATCTCCATAACACTTCGTCCAAGAGAAATTATAGGAGCTGAACTCGCTCCAGCGACTCTGGTTTAAACAAACAATGGCTGACCCTCCTCACCACTGACGCCTTGGCTCTCCTTGTCCAATGTCAATAAGTGATAGAAGGGTCACATTTACTTTATTTTGATACTGATAATTAAGTTAACTCAACTGAGATGTTTTTATGATATTAAAAGTCCAAAGGCTGATGTATTTAAGAATAATTCCCATCAGAATAGCTGGTGAATTTATAGTACTATGTGGCAATGATATCCTGTTTTCTATTGATGGAAAATTTCACTACAAGCTACATTTTCTATGGGTTAACTTATGTATACAATGGCAGCAATATTATCTGCATATTGTATGTAATATTATTAAATGATGTCGGGTTTTCAAACACAAGTAATGTAGCCCTTGGGGAATATTAATTCATTTAAACAAATTTCAGCCAATTTCATCTTTGTGTGACAATATCTGTCATTTGTGTGTGTGTGTGTGTACGAGAAGTTTGTAAAACTCACTGGAAATATTACTTATTTCAGGAATGTGTGATCTGCCCAGCCAGTGGAGAGGTGGATGGTTCCAAAGTGGTGTCAGGGACATCATCTCAATCACAAGAACAGAGTTCTCCTCCAAGGGGGTTTGTGTTCACTCCTCTGGGGAAAAGTTCCTTTTTAAAGACAGGTAAGTTTATAATTTTGTCGTTACTTAAGTGTAATTACAGGATGAAAGCTATGCTTGTGGTTTCCCATCTTCCCAGCACCCTTTATCATATAACATTTTGAAACTAGAGACAGTTTTGGCTACCACCTTCTCACTTTACTAGTTCCAACTGTCTACCACTCTGCAAAAGGGAATTTTCTCAGATTTCTTCGGCCGCTTTGTTTAGTGAGTTTAAAGCTATGTTCTCTTGTTCTTGAAGTTCCAGGTCTCAGGAATTCTTCCCTATTGTTTTGTCAATTCCCATTACTATTTTGTACATAGTGATCATATCATCTCTTTTTCGTCTATTATTTAGTTTTGACATTTTTAACCCTTGAATGGTAATTATTGTTGTAACGTATGATTATGTTGATGTTGTTGGGTAGATTAGATACACAGTGTTTAGTGGGTTATATATTTATTTAGTAGTCTTGATTATAATAGTTGTTGGCATTGTCGTAGACGTTCAAATGGAGCTTGGAGCAGAGCAGAGAGCTGAGTGAGGCTGGAGTCACTGAGCTCAATGCGGGAAAGCGTGGCGACTTGATGGGAAATGATGTGTCTAAACTCGATGAGGTGGTGAGTGTCTAAACTCGATGAAGTGGTGTCTAAACTCGATGAGCATGGTAGCTCGATGAGGTCGTAGTCTGCTGTTTGCTCAGTGTCGAAGCTTGTGTGTCTTGGGGTCGATTAGAACTGCATATGCTGAGTGCTACATTCTTGAGGTTGAAGAGGTGTGTTAACTCCGAAGTGTCTTTACTAAAGTTAACCAAATCACCGTGGAAATTATACTGCTTATTAATCACTTCTCGATTGCTTATATTATTGGACTACACCTCAGCTTCTTCCAATAGGATGGAAGAAATGTTACCTGTAATTAGGGAAAAGATTTGATTGATGTCATTATTGCTAATGAGAGGTTTGCTTCTCTCATTTAGCTATTGAGGTTGGAGCGAGTAAATTGTTTATATAATTTACTTGCTATATTGTATATATTCAATTTTGGTTTAATTGCCTGTATAGTATACATCATGTACTGTATATCCCTTAACCCTTAAATGGCACAAAACATACATATATGATTGGACATCAGTTTCTCAAGTTTGCTCAACCATTTTCCAATTTTTTGTGCATAATAAACTAGGAAATGCTCCAACATTGTCAAAATGATCACCAATGTAACTTGAAAAACAAGATAATAAAAAATATTTTTAAAATTGAATATTGAAAACTTTAGATTTTCATATCAGATTAAAAAATATAAAATGTCACCAACTGTTCTTTTGGTGTTTTATGCTCTCAGAATAGCATAGGATCTTCATTTTCATCATATTAGAATATAGGTTTTCAGTATAGTTTACTGTAAAAAAAAATTGTCAATATGGCATTTGAAATATGCAGCAAATTTAGACAAAAAAATTTATAACTCCAAACGTTCAGGGTTTATGAAAAATCTATTTTATAGGGATTATAGAACAAACAGCTGTGCACACTATATGTAAAATGGTGAGAATCGGTCAGAAACTGGATTTTTTTATCAGACTCGAAGTTGAAATTCTAGTTATAGATATACAGAGACACCTCGACTTACGATTGCCCCAATTTACGATAATTTTGATTTATGATATAAATTTGATCAGAAAATGTGACTCGATTTACGATAGTGTCGTCGACTAACGATATTCGTTGATACATGTTCGGGTCAACCAAGTGCATGGTTCCTGGTCACGCGGGCAGACCTGCCTCAGTTTACTAGAACCGCCCGCTTAGTGTATAAGTACAGTGATACAGTGAAGTGTAACACAACACATGAAAGTTGAAATGTAGGAAAATTTGCCATGTGGAAAATTGGAAATATATAACAGAGTTCCAAAATGAGGCAATACCCTAGAATGTGTATACACTAGCCAGAAGGTGACCAGGGTTAATACTCACCTAATTGTGCTTGCGGGGGTTGAGCTTTGTCTCTTTGGTCCCGCCTCTCAACTGTCAATCAACTGGTGTACAGATTCCTGAGGCTACCGGGCTCTATCATATCTACATTTGAAACTGTGCATGGAGTCAGCCTCCACCATATCACTTTCTAGTGAATTCTATTTATTAACTACTTTGACACTGAAAAAAATTCTTTCTAACGTCTCTGTGGCTCATATGGGTACTAAGTTTCCACCTATGTCCCCTTGTTCATGTTCCACCCGTGCTGAAGAATTTGTCTTTGTCCACCCTGTCAATTCCCTGAGAATTTTGTAGGTGGTTATCATGTCTCCCCTTACTCTTCTGTTTTCCAGGGACGTGAGGTTCAGCTTCATTAGCCTTTCCTCGTAGCTCATTCCTCTCAGTTCCGGGATGAGCCTGATAGCATACTGCTAAATCTTCTCAAACTTTGTCTTATGTTTAACTAGGTATGGACTCCAGGCTTAGTGTCTTCCTAAGTGACAAACTGTGAATTTTTATTGTAATATGGGAATGAGAATCTAGAAATAAATAATAGAGTAAGTTAAGAGTGCAAGTCAAAAACTAAGCAGAAAATTCCTTATGGTAGTTGATAGGGACAATAAGTCATTAACACTTTCGTTCGGGAGGGACATACATGATGTTCATAATTAACTCTGCAGATGTTTGGGAGGGATGTCTATGACGTCTGATTTTAATATATATGTTAAAATTACATTTTTTATTCGATCATTTTGGGACATGGTTTAAAGTTTGTGCCAATGTCTTTCCATTTTCTGTTAGGGCCCATGTGGCATCATGGTTTGCCAAAACTACAGGGCTGTTAAACTAACCCCAACAAAAATACAGGCTATAGCTGGCAGTTTTTCTGATTTTAATGCTTAAACTGCGCATGGCATATATATATACGCCATGAATAACATGTCCCACCGTGCGCATGGCGTATATGTACACCAAAGGGTGCCAGGCACGATTCAAATGTCCCACGGTGTAAAGGGGTCACTCATACCGTAGCCAGGGGCGATTGTAAACAGACGCCATCTTGAAAAAACATCTAGTGCAGGCCTCCTTTGTTTCCCAGGCCTTAGTTAGGGCCAGACACCATGGCGAGTGCATCACGACCCAGCGTCCGACCTCGCTCAGCGTACCGCGCCACACAGTCTTTTACCAAAGACAAAATAGCCAATGAATTGTTCAAAGACGTTGACGAATCTGATATTGACGACTCGGATATAGATGAGGACTATACACAGCCTGAGGAAATAGAAACCACGGATAATGAGGGTGAACATTTGGTGCCACGAGACTGAGGATGCCACGAGAGTTACCCGCTACTACTCAACACCACTCAACACCACTTCACACCCAAGCACATAGTTCATGTGTTCCATTGCAAGTTTATGATATGATCGACGAGTCTGAAACAGGTGAATCATTCTCTGGTTTTAGTGATGTAGAATTGGAGAATAGTTTTGCCACGCCTGCTAGTGCCAGTACAAGTTTCGCCGCATCAGCTGCCCGCCCAGCCAAGCGCCGCCGCATGGAACAATAAGGCAACAATGAGGAACAAATCCCCTCATGTTCCAATACTTTTCCCTCATCGACCTTTCCTGCCCCTACTGTTGCTAGACCTGCTTCAGCTCCTGGTCCCCGGATTCCTCGGCATGGTGCAGCTAATGGCTCTTGGAAGACAGCAAGTTTATTTATGTGGAGTGATGGGGAGACTTTGTTCCACAATTTCCCGGCTTTGACAATAGAGATTTGGGAATTACAGATCTTTTCCCTGATACAGGTGACAAAATGAGTGAAATGGACTTCTTTACTGCATATTTCAATGAGACGCTTATGGAACATATTGTTCACAAAACGAACAGATTTGCAGCTGATCTCATTGAAGGTGAGGAGGTATCAGAATTTTCGCGTTTACAGTGTTGGAAAGAGATGACTGTAGGTGAACTGTATGTGTTTTTTGCAATTTGTATGTTGATGACACATTGTGTGAAACACATAATATCACATTATTGGAGCAAAGACAACACTGTTCCAACACCATTGTTCGGGAAATATATATGTCCCGCGACAGATTTCTGTTGATTCTACGGTGCCTTCATTTTGCAAATAATGCAGACGAGAGACAGGATGATAGGCTTTGGAGGGGTGAGGCACGTGCTAAATGACCTGATTGGAATGTTCCGAGATTACTACGTACCAGCTCAGAAGCTGGTTATTGATGAATTCCTTGTGCTTTTCAAAGGACGTGCTGCCTTCAAGCAGTATATTCCCTCAAAACGCCACCGATTTGGATTCAAATTCTTTGTGCTCTGTGACTGTGAATCAGGAATGGTGTTACACATGATACTGTAGTCCGCTACAAATGTAGACATTCCTGCTAATGACCAACATGGCTTCTCAGGTAATGTGGTGAAGGCACTGCTTGCACCATATCTGAACAAGGTCCACATATCGTACACAGATAACTATTATACCAGTCCCTTACTAATCAAATTCTTGCTTGATAATAAAACTGGAGTGTGTGGCACAGTAAATCCAAAATGAAGGGAAATGCCTGTGTTTGACACTGCTATACAAGTAGGTGATTGCCAGATAAGAAAAAGTGGTGCAATACTTTCAGTGTGATGGAAAGACACGTGAAGTGAACATGCTGACCACCATTCACCCTGGTACAATGGTGAACAGTGGCAAGGTGAACAGAACAACAAAGCAAATAATATATAAGCCAGATTGTGTGATGGACTACAACATCAACATGCATTTAGTTGATAAATGTGGCATGATGGTGGGTGCTGTAGAGTGTGTACAGAAAACAGTGAAGTGGACAAAGAAAATGATTTTCCACTTATTGACGTAACAATGCTGAACAGTTACAACATGTTTCTTATGAAAACAGGTAGAAAACCATATTTCCGTTCATTTAGTTTTCAAGTTGTGAAACAGGTACTAGGTAAGTTTGGCAAAGACACCCCTGGCATACAAAGACCCATTCGAGACCCAATATTGCACCATGCTCCTGCACCTAGGCTTGCTTACAGGGAGGCCTTTCTGGTACACCAAATCAAGAAATTACCACCAACTGGAGCGCGTGCAGCAGGCCAGTGTCGGTGCGTTGTGTGTTCCAGCACCAAGATGAGGCCACAGAAGCATAAATTGATGTTAACATGATACGAAGCATATGCAGTCCCTCTGTGCCATATCGACTGTTTCGCACAATATCAGTCTCCAGGACTACTAAATGTGTAATACTTTTGTAAATAAATGTACATGTCAAGTTAATTTTAGTGTTTATATTGAAAAACTGCAAATACATTGTATATTTCCTGTAAACTATACCATTTTGGTGGGCATACTTTTGACACTAGTATGTGAGCGCATAGTGAGTTTATACCAGTTTTATTATAATACAACGTCTAGTGATAATAATTGGAACAATACTAGCGAAAAAAATTATTGTAAAATGTGCCATAGATACTGTAAATAATGCCACGAAAATAAATTCGCGGCAACTCCGGCCTCCTGAGTGGCTATGAGTGACAGCTCCCTGACGCATCACCCTTGAGCACTCATGCTCTGTGACGTCATTGGCCAACTTGTTGGCTCAATTACGTCATTGGTAAGTACAATAAAATTTTGTTATTATTTTTCCTGTGCTCAGGGGACACAAATTAACATGTTCAGAAGACGAAAAAAAAATTTAGAATTTTTTTTTCTTGCACATAGGGGTGTAAATGTCCTCAGGACCCCTTAGCAGCTTAAGGGCTAAAGATGAAAGTGACAGTGATGTAGATAGTGAGTTTGTTGAAACTGAAACAGCAGGTGAGGTTGAACTCGAAAGAGAGGGGAATGCTGATTTTGAGCCCACTACCGCCACAGGCACACGTGGACACACTGCAAGTAGGAAACACAAACGTTCTGGTGAAGCTTGGTCAACTGATAACATTCCACCATTTGCAGACAGTTTTACTGGAACACCAGGCTTGACTGTACCAGTACCAATCACTCCTCTGGGATTTTCACACTTATTTATTACACCCTGACCATCAGGTGTAATTACCTAAGTGTAGTTACAGGATGAGAGCTACGCTCGTGGTATCCCGTCTCCCCAGCACTCTGTCATATAATGCTTTGAAATTACTGATGGTTTTGGCCTCCATCACCTTCTCACTTAACTTGTTCCAACCGTCTACCACTCTATTTACAAAAGTGAATTTTCGTATATTTCTCTGGCAGCTTTGTTTCGTTAGTTTAAATCTATGATCTCTTGTTCTTGAAGTTCCGGGTCTCAGGAATTCTTCCCAATCAATTTTATCGATTCCTGTTAATATTTTGAAGGCAGTGATCATATCGCCTCTTTTTCTTCTATCTTCAAGTTTTTGCATATTTATCCCTTAACATGCTCGGGGTCTAATATCCTGCTATCCACACAGGCGCATGTCATTTTGAAAAAAAAAAAAATTTTTTTTTTTTGCTAATCTGTTAAGTTCTGTTCACTGATCACGGGAAAAATAAAAAAAAAATTCTATTGTACTTACTTTTGTTGCAATAGAGCCGAGAAGCTCTGCAATGACGTCACAATCTGCATGGTCGCTCATGCAGTACACGCCCGGGAGATGTTGCGCGCGGTCCTCAAACAGCCAGAGTTGCCACAAATATATTTTCGCGCTATTTATTTACAATGTCTAAGCGCATTTTATCTAATTTTTTTTCACTAATTGTGTTTCAAATACTGTTTGAACATATTTTGTATCAATAATTGTTGCATATTTGAGTATACACAGGCGCACACAAATGTTTTCAATTACGGCAATATAATATGTCATTACAGTCTATTATATTATATGTTCTGCTTATATGTTTACATATTTACACACTCGCACACGCTATACACACTTTGAAGCACACTTAGAAGATTTCTAGACTGTGGTAGTCATTGAAGCAGTCGACAGCACATAATGGGATACCACACGTTTCACACCATGTTTGCACAAGCTTCCGTTTCTTGTCTCTACGTGTCGTTGTTTTACACACCAAGCAATCACGTTGGGCTATTGCACGCTTCACACCAGGTGGCAAATACTTAAGTTTGTGTGCTAGGAAGCCTTCAGTGTGAGCGAGGCGTGGAGTACCAGCATGCTGCAACAGTGGGTTTATGATGGGCCGCTGAATACCTGGGACATCTTTTGCAAACTTTCCTAATAACTGTATTGCAGCATCAAATACAAAGTCACGGAAAGTGGGCTTACGTCCAGTTCTCACAAGGTACATGTTGAAACAGTTCAGCATGCTCATGTCCACAAGATGGAAGAACACTTTTTTCGTCCACCTACATGTCTTCCGCACACACTCTGCAGTGCCAATCATCATGTCTGATTTATCAATCAACCGCATGTTGATATTATAGTCTAAAACACAGTCTGGCTTATATAGTGGTGCGTTTGTTTTATGGCTCACTTTCCCACTGTTCACCATTGTTCCATCATGAATTGTTGTCAACAAGTTCACCTCTCTTTTGTCTTTCCACCGAACTGACAGAATGTTATCACTTTTCCTTCTCTGACACTCACCAACTGCAATGTCGTTGTCAAACACAGGCATTTCCCTTCGTTGTGGCTTTACTGTACCAACCAATCCGGTTCTATTTTCTAGCAAGAACCGAGCTAGCAAGGGACTTGTATAGTAATTATCTGTGTATAAAATGTGTCCCTTGTTCATCCACGGAGCCATGATGGTCTTCACTACACTCCCCGAGAATCCATGTTCGTCGTTACCGGGAATGTCTACATCACTAGCCGAGTACAGAATCATGTGTAACACGTATCCTGTCTCGCAATCACAAAGAACAAAAAATTTCAGGCCAAATCGGTTTCGTTTTGAGGGAATGTACTGTTTGAATGGAACACGTCCCTTGAAAAGTATGAGAGATTCATCAACCACCAGCTTCTGTGCTGGTACGTAAAAATCTCTGAATTTTCCAATAACATCGTTCATGTAGTGCCTCACTCGCCACAGTCTATCATCAGGTGTTCGGTCCTGAACACTTCCAAAATGTAGACACCTGAGGAGTATCTGAAACCTGTCTCGTGACATATATTTCCCGAATAAAGGTGTTGGTATTGTCTTGTCCTTGCTCCAATAGTCATTTATTGCATGTTTGTGACAGTGCTTCATCAACAAACAGAGTGCCAAAAACACATACATTTCCGCCACTGTGGTATTTTTCCAACGCTGCAGTCGTGAAAATTCTGTGATTTCCCTCTCAATCAGGTAAGCAGCATGCAGGTTCGTTTGGTGTACAATGTATTCCATGAGTGGTTCATCATAGAATGCTGTAAAATATTCCATCTCAGCCATGTCCTCACCTTGATTAGGGAAAAGGTTTGTAATCCCTACATCTTTATCGTCAAAGTGAGGAATATTAGGAATAAAATCGTCACCATCACTCCACTCAAGTACACCAGGCGTCCTGCGAGATGCAGAGGAAAGACGGCGAGGAAGCGATGCATACCGGCGACCAGGAGCTGAATACCGTCTGCGAGAAGCACGGCGGCTACGTGCACGTGAGGTGGGTGCACGTGAACACGAGGGTCTTGGTGCCTCATGTGGTGCCATGCGGTGGCGCTTGGCTGGGCGAGATGCTGCTGACGCGACAATTTCTCGCCCAGTTACACCACTGGTACCAGCCACAGGCTCAATAAAACTTTGATCTGAGTCACTAAACCCAGAAAAGGAGTCACCTCCCCTGACTCGTCACCCTCAAACAGAAAATATCCACAGGAACTGTGAGGTCGTGGTAGAATTGGGGTAGAAAATGGGCGAGGAGGCATGGGAGAGCGTATAGGCCTCGCCATGGCATGGCGGTCATTCTCACTTTCACTGCTGCTGCTACTATCTCCCGACAACTGTGTATAATCCTCATCGTTGTCTGAATCGTCAAACACACTTTCTTCACCTTCAGAGAATAATTCGTGGGCTATTTGCTCTGGGGTGAGGGACTGAGTGATGCGTGCTCGTGAGGCGTTTGACCGTGCGCTCGCCATGGTGACTCTCGCTAAACTGAGGCCTCCCATGCCATCAGAGCGTGAGCTGGATTTTTTTTCAAAATGGCCGCTGTTTACTAGAGCCCCTGGGCAGCGTATGGGACCCCCAGCTACACCGCGGGCCATTCAAATCGTGCGCGGTACCCATACACTTCATATGAAGTGAAGCGCAGTTGACTGGTAAAACGATTTACACTTCATATGAAGTGATGCGCACTTTAAGGGTTAATGCCTCTAACCTCTCCTCGTAGCTCTTGTCCTTCAGTTCTGGGAGCAACTTAGTGGCATGTTGTTGCACCTTTTCCAGTTTGTTGATGTGCTTCTTAAGATATGGGCATCATACAACCGCTGCATATTCCAGCTTTGGTCTATCTTGAGGTTATCTTGAGATGATTTCGGGGCTTTCAGTGTCCCCGCGGCTCGGTCCTCGACCAGGCCTCCACCCTCAGGAAGCAGCCCGTGACAGCTGACTAACACCCAGGTACCTAATTTACTGCTAGGTAACAGGGGCATAGGGTGAAAGAAACTCTGCCCATTGTTTCTCGCCGGCGCCTGGGATTGAACCCAGGACGACAGGATCACAAGTCCCGCGTGCTGTCCGCTCGGCCGACCGGTCTAATAAAAGTCGTGAATAATTTCTTTAGTATTTCTCCATCCATGTATTTAAAAGCAATTCTGAGGTTAGAAAGTGTAGCATAGGCTCCTCGCACAATGTTCTTAATGTGGTCCTCAGGTGACAGTTTTCTATCTAGAACCACCCCGGGAGCCGGTCGGCCGAGCGGACAGCACGCGGGACTTGTGATCCTGTGGTCCTGGGTTCGATCCCAGGCGCTGGCGAGAAACAATGGGCAGAGTTTCTTTCACCCTATGCCCCTGTTACCTAGCAGTAAATTAGGTACCTGGGTGTTAGTCAGCTGTCATTATTACTAATGCACTAATTATTACAACAATCCTGCTATTATCACAACCCTGGAGCAAATATCACAACCCTGGAGCAAATACAGCCTAGTGCTATCGCCTATTTTCAACCGGTATATGTCGCATGATAGGTTCCTCTTGATTCTCAGGTGCCTGCATTTCGAGAATAATGCTAATGAGGACAGAAACGACAGACTGTGGAAGGTACGGTAGGTGTTCAGTGATATGAGAGGGAAGTTCAGGGATTATTTTGTACCTGAACAGAATGTGGTTATTGATGAATTGCTAGTACTGTTCAAGGGGGGACTGGCATACATCCCATCAAAGCGGCACGATTTTGGACTGAAGTTTTTCGTGCTGTGCGACTGTGAGACTGGTATCATCTTGAACATGATGTTGTATTCTGGCACAATAGGGTGGGGAAGTCTGGCAAAAAAGAGGGGTTGACAGAGCAGGTGCCAGACGAGGTCTGCTCCGCCCCAGTTGTGGGAGTTGCCACAAAGATATTATTACCTAATAAATTCAATATGACTGATTTTTTCTTAGTTTTTTGCAGTAATATTATTCATTGTTGTGTAGTGTGATATATTTATATAATCAAATGTGTGAACCATCGCTAAACTCAAAATTATGGTGGGCATATTAGTGATTCAATTATTACAGTACAACCTCGATTCAACGTACCCCGATTCAACAAATCTCCGGCTAGTTCGCACACTTTTCAGACCGGATTTACTCACCCGGTTTATGGTTCACTGAAGTGGGGGATGATCGGATTTGCTTATGATGTCGAGACAGAGTTCACAGACTAGTGGAAAACTTTCCCATTCCATCACAGGTTACAATTAATAATTCCTTCATATGACAAGTTGGATCACACAAGTGGACCACACAAGTGGACCACACATGTTAGCCACACATGTGGTCCACAAGCTTACG